CGAACCATTTATAGTAGAGTTTGTAACGTAAACACATTAGTTTATTGTTCCGTACGAATTAGAAAACATCAAATTTCCAGTAAAGCACTTTTGAAAATGGCTGTAATAGAGGAATTGAAGAAGATCCCACTTCGAATAACTAATAATTTAGTTAATTTAACGCTTAGAAGAGTTATAATAATAATAAAATCAAAAGGAAATCTCACAAAAAAAGTACTATATACTTGTAAATGAATGTAAGTTTCTTTTATTTTAATCAAGTTTCAAAAATTAAACAGTTGTGCGATTACTTATTGCTTCAACATTCCTATCGATTAATTGTTTTTTTGTTTTTTTTTTGTTAATTTTGTAACTTACATAAATAGCTATTTTTTTTGTTCTATCTATTCTAGAATATCTATTCTGGAGATTTCCGAGAATATGTAGAATGTCATTGTTTATCAAAAATAAGTTGATAAATTACAATTTTACATAGTTTTTTTGAAAATTGATCGGTGTACGAATACTTTCTACACCGACTGTATATAGAGTACATTGAAAATGTGTCAGCCAGATTTCAATTTAAATAAATCGAATTTAATTTTGCCAAGCCATCAATACGTATAAACATGCAATTCTACCTTTAAGGGACATCCCCTAAATGGAAAATACATCATATACAGGACAGATGCCGAGCAAATGCAACGAATCAAAATTTATGGAAACAAAAACTTGGCTCACAAATAAATGTTCATACGAGTAACGTAAGCAGAATACAAAATTGAAATAAAATATTTAAATCCTATCCGAACATTGAAAAGAGAAAACAATAAAATAAAATACAGATATAATTATACTCGATATCCGTCCTACGAAGTTCATTATTCGGCCTTGAACGAGTCGCAGACCTTGGTATAACATTTCACAAATTCGGTAAGTCGGAGTGTTGCGAAAGTATATTTATTCCATTCGAATCGTCATAACATTGACCTTTTGCTAATCGATTTCTATAATTTGTGTTAATTTTTAGGCACGTGTCTCCTAACATTCTTCTCGTTTCTCAGAATGTTGTTAATAAGTATCTTATAGGAAATCCCAAGTTCGATTTCACCATTTATTTGTAATTTACGTCATTCGTAAAATAACGTGTACTCGTGAAGGATAAATCAGGAACTATTTACCATAACTTTGTAGAAAATGATTAATATAGTCATTGAATTGATTAGCGAGAAACATTCGGAAACAGATATAATAGATTAAACGATCTCGTATTTGCATACATGTAACAACAATGCATTTCTTTCTTTCTTTTGAAAGTAATAAAACAATATTTTTGTTGTGTCATTAGAATATATTTAAATGTAATTTATTCTGATAATGTATAATGCGAACGTATGTATGTTTTTTTATGAGCATTTCGAATATGTTGTTAACAGTTATGGCGCGCGCTACATTTTCTGTTGTAAAACACGTTAGAAGGAATAATTTCTACATAACTGGTTACTTAACTAAATTCAAATTTTGATCTATCGATATATTTATAAGTGCGTGATTATGGGGTAGCAAATGGTATAATAGGGGTAGCAGAGCCGGCGTTAGGGGGGGGGGGGGCGGTCAGGCAACCGGCCGGGGCTCCAGATTTTTGAGGCATCGCAGTCCGGTGTCCCTAGTATACGAATATACCGATATACAGGGTGTCCCAAAAATATTGTAACACCTTGAAAGGGGTGGTTCGGGAGGTGATTTGAAACAACTTTTTCCTTACTGAAAATGTTGTCCGAGGCTTCGTCGAGGAGATATTAACGGAAAATACTGACCAATCAGAACGCGCGTATACCGTTGGAGCGCTCGCGCTAACGTATGAGCGCGGTCGCCTATCGCGTAGCCTACGCTCAACCAGCATACTCGCGCTCTGATTGGTCGGGGTTTTCGCTTAATATCTCCTCGACGAAGCCTCGGACAACATTTTCAGTAAGGAAAAAGTTGTTTCAAATCACCTCTTGAACCACCCCTTTCAAGGTGTTACAACATTTTTGGGACACCCTGTATATATTCCTAAAGGGGCGCCACGATAATCTTGCCCGGGGCGCCAACGTTGCTAAAATCGGCCCTGAGAGGTAGCGTAGCCGACTACGTAGTTCATACCCCGGGCGTCCGCCCTAGTTTTTCAAGGTATGGCTAATAAGTATAAAGTATCGAAAAGCCTTTGGCGTAAGATAAAGGAATGGAAAAAATAAGAGAAAAAGAATGAGATAGTTAAAATGTAAAAATATGTACTGTGATGCAATGCGAGAATATAAACAAACAAATAGTATAACGCGTCCGCCCCAGTTTTTCAAGGTTAGGTTAAGGCCGGCTAATAAAAATAAGGTATCGAAAAGCCTATGGCGTAAAAATAAATAATGAAAAATAAATAGGAAAATGAATAACATTAGTAATGCAAAATGGGAATACATATCTATTGAGATATAATTATTTTATTGTTTTTTTTTTTTTTTTTTTTTTGAACGTGGTAAAAATCGCGCTTATGCGCAGATGGATGCACGGGTTTGGTGTGTGCGATGTGCATGCCTTTTATGTACTTCCCCTTTGTTCTGTATTGTAAAATGTGTAGTCTGGACTATGTGTGGTCTGTATTATTCTGTTCTGTTCTATTCTATTTTCTTTTATAAACTGCACTATTCTTTCTTTTCTTTTTTCCCTTAATAAACAGTTAAAATAAGGATTCGCTATGTTTAGTTTTATGTATTCCCTACACACGAAGCGAGGTAAGATTATAACAACATCCCATGCACTTAAAATTCGAGAACTCGAACTAGAACTCAAATGGTATAACTGCAAAATTTATAAGAATAATTTTAGATAAGCCAAATTTGAAAGAACAATTTGAAGCAGTTATACAAAAAGTTAAAAAAAGACTAAATATTGTGAGGTTCCTGTGTCATAGAAACAAAGATATTAAAGAATGTTACGCATTAATGTTGACGAGAGCATTAATTGTATCCGTTATGGAATACGGAGTAACAATATGTATGAATGATAAAAAAAAAACAAGAACAACTTAATGAAAATATCAGAAAGTTGCAAACCATGGCCATCAAGGCAGTGGTAGGATACAGGATGTCGATGCCGCTGAACGTCACATACATATATGGAAGGGGGATGAATAGGCCTAAAAAACAGACCAAAATATCTAGCCAGCAAATATTAGATAAAACAATGGGAGAAAGGTAGGAAACAAAATCCAACTTTTAAATTATTGAAAAATCACAGAAATAAAAAGCCAATCCTTTACAAAAATTTTACCGGCGTATAAAGTAGCATACTAACAGTACCTGCTAAAATGTGATATCACGAAAAGAGAGACTTTAAGAATAAATGAATTGTTATCCTTAAAGAATGATAAGAATAAGAAGAACGAACAATGATTTAGATAATATAAAATCACAGTTATACAGATATTTAGCAATAAGGCGTAGAATAAGAACATTGTAAACTTAATATTTTTGTATCTTGTATTATGTATTTAGCAAACGGAAATATGTATTTCAAAAAGGATGTATCTGATTGGTGCAATGCAAGGAATTTTCTTTTGCACACCTTAAATAAACTCAAACTCAAATAATATAACTCAAATAATATTACTATCTAACAGTGAATGTACTGAACTAATTTTATAAAAATATGATCAACGCCCTCAGCTATTTAAAACTATTAAACATTACCAATATTCTCTGTGCTGACCTGAGTTGTTAGTATTCAGTTAATAAATACGACATATTATAGCATATGATCTATTTTTAATTAGATGCTAGGAATACAACTTACTCGATTTTTTCCAATAGTGAATGAAATAAATTTTTGTGGATCAAAATTGACAGTAAATTGTGACACTAAAAGCAGAGAAACTGTTTTGTAAATTGATCGAATTTAAACATTAGTAAAGCTATCAACATTCGTTTAGTTACCGTTTAGTATATCTTACTATACTAACTTTTACGTTTTGAAGCATTACTAATTGAAATCAAATGCTTTGTTTTTCTGCTTTTGATGTCACAATCACAAAATAGTTCTAATAGACTCTCCCATTCTGTTACATGCTGTAGAATCCAGGTAATAAAAATTTAATTTCTTACATTATAATTTTAATTATTTTGTGTTTGTGGCTTTGACCAGTCCACGTTCAAAATGAGATGGTCGTAACCATAACCATTGAGCGTAGCAATAGCTTTCGCAGCATCCACTCTATACTTGAAATGCACATATGCGAAACCTTTGCAAAGATTGGTCTGTTTGTCTTTTGGAAGATAAAATTTAAGAACACATCCAAATGGCTTGACAAGCTCATCCAAGTCAGCGTCTGTAGTACTCTCTGATAAATTGGAGATACGAATAGTAGTAATGTCTTCACGTCTTTGCATTTGCATAGAATCCCCGCGTTTATTGCCCCCTTCGCGCATACCAGGTGGTACATATTTGCCGCTTTGAGGTTTCAATTCTGCCATAGCACCAGGAGCACCAGGAGTAACAAGTGGTTTCTTATCATCTGGTACTTTTCCTGAAAATTAAATGAAGAATCAAGAAATAATAAGCTTTCCAAACCTAATTGTATAGTGATAAATATATATACCTCCAGCAAGAACAGTATCTTTGTATGGACATTTTGAAGTCCAATGGTCTCCATTACAATTACGACACTTGACAACACCTTTATCACCCATATTCTTCAATTTATCAAGACTGTCTTCTTCAACCTTATTTTCTTCTTCTTTGCTGGAAATGAATTGCATGAAAATGTCTTCACCGCCAACTGTAGTAGCAGGATTTGGTCCAGGCCGGTCATCCGCAGAATCTCCAAATTTAGCCCAATTTTTTCGCACAGCAATTGTCTTTGATACTATACGTCTCTCAATCTTGTATGTACGAACAACTTTGACCTTCTTATTATCTTGATTATATTTATATTCCGTGAGAATTTTAAATCCATTGTCATAAGTCTCCGAAGGTGGAGGCAATGCTCCTACTTCCTCCTCTACCTCATCAGCCCAACTGGATTTTACGTCTGCTACTGGCATCTTCAAAACCTATGGAATTAGCATAAACCATGCAATTAATTAATTAGTCACCATGGAGCATTTTAGAATTTCTGCTACAGTCTAATCTGAGATGATTGCATACATAACAATTTTAGAAATTATGAAACAGTAAATAACAATTACACAATTATACGTTCAAGTCTTTGAGTAATGCAAAAGTGAGGTAATTACGTTAAATATGTGACAGATGTAACACGATGATTTTTAGGTTAGATAGTGAAATCAACTAAATATTACATGTATTCAAAGCAACGTTATCGACAACGTTAAAACTACGGAAAAATAATTAATTACAAATGATTAAATCTCAACAAAAATACGCAGAAATGTGTTTTATACAAGATCAACAAGTACTAAACACGTTTAGGGTACGAAAGCATAAAGATAATAATGTGTGATAAAAATTGTTATTTCTTTAAAAATGTATTACCGTAAATAATTGAAATTTGTAGCAATCACGAGACCAATTGAAATGGTCACAAACACTACAAAAAATTGACAAAAACGCGACTTCTCTAGCACGAATGAAAACGAGTCAAAATGGACACGAATAGTTCAGCCATCTTACTTTGGTCACGTTACTATTTATTCAAAGCGCGGCAAAATTGAAACGCGTATCTTTTCTCGCGTGTTTTTCAGTTACTCAACATGTACTGTGAATAGTTTAACACAATTTTGATTTTGTAAACATTAAATCGAAATGAAAAGTAATTGTTAGAAAAGATCATTTCTTAAATCATGTATATAACTGAAAACAACACAAAGGTAACTTGAGACCTAAGAAAATTCAATTTTTGAAATCTATTTCAAGAATGTATTTCTGTTTATATTAAAACTACCCCTCGTAGTTGTATTTTTCGTAGGTTGAGATGCAATCAATTTGTTTTGAGAATCTGTTTTTAAATTATAGGCTGCTTATCAAGGTAAGATGACTGAAGAATGTTTAAACCATATATTTACATGTATGGTTTAAACCTTGATTCCCGTTCCGTCTGTTATAACAAATATGCATCGTCAACCGTCCTTGAGATCTGTAGAAATGGAGGTATTTCCGCGTATGATAAGTCGGCGTCTCAGCAGTCCTGGCGGTAGGTTTAGGAAACATGAATGTTCCAAAATTAATGGCGACGTCTAGCGTTGTCGTGTTCACTGTGAGAAAATAATGTTTCCCGGAACCGAATTTCGATTGTGTACGAAAAGGTGTTAACGAAACTAAAAACGAACGCGATTGTATTCAGTGCTAAAGTAAAAGAGTAGTCGCGATAATGGACCAGGCACCTGCAGGTAAGAAATGAATGTTGTGATCTGGCGATCCGGTGAAGCGCGGTCTTCTTGCACATTCCCTCTTCGAGCGAGCGTATTAACATTCCACCTTTCTTATTAATCGTAATGTCTGTGATCTATCGTTTTAGCGCTTTGATTAGTCATAATTGAGGATTTGCGAGTTACTACACGACGGGAGTAACGAGATGTATTTAAAAAGAGAAAAAAGTTAGATTTTAGATAATAGGTTATGTAAACCTGTGCAATATATTAGGTTACACGTTACAAAAGAAACTATTCGATTGACGAATTAAAATATCACTCGTACAAATTTACGTAGATATATTCACAAAGTGTTAACTTTCAAAACGGATTCAATCTTTCAGGTTGCGATGGGCTGATTTAGGACTGCATACTTTAAAAATAAGAGATCCTATTTCAGTACTGTATTTAAACATTGCCATTTATATTGTAATACTTGAACAAGTTAATTCTTAAGTAATTTATCGTCGTACTAATTCTATTGATTTTGGTATAATACCCAGATACAGAGTTACGGAACATCATAGACAAGCTGGCACAGTTTGTGGCTCGCAATGGACCAGAGTTCGAGCAGATGACGAAAAACAAGCAGAAGAACAACCCAAAGTTTGGTTTCCTGTTTGGCGGAGAGCACTTCAACTACTATCAATACAAAGTGACTACAGAGCAAGCCAGTAAGTGGGATACAGCCCCTTAACAGCTACAACAATTGAGAAGCATAATGGCCATGCTTTATTCGACGAACAAGGAATGACTTTGAAAAAGAGATACGGGTGAAAGGGTCTGAATTCGTCATAGTGAACATACAAAACTATTATTCATCGAATATGAGAGCTTCATTTCAAGATTTTGGGATTGCTATTTATTAAGCAGAATGCTTTAGCTAAAGACATATTCTATTTCTTGGCAATGGTGATTTTAAGAAGATGTAGTTTTAAGATTCTTACTGGAGCTTATCTAATACGGACTACATTGTCAATATATTGTTCTTCAATCTATGTGGGAACTATAATCCATCTACAATAACTATATACCCTGTAATACCCTAGTACTGTAAAAAAAAATATATGTATACCTATATGTATACATATATATGTATATAAAAACAGGGAAAGAGTATAGTGCTCTCAAAAGACTTACTGAATTTTCGATATACTTCTCTCATAAATGCCAAGAATTTTATTATGCACTGGTAGAAGATAAAAGTCAACAGAAATTGGACTATTTGTATACTTTTTCAATATCCATTGAAGGAATCAAACATCTTACAATAATCCACCGTCATTCGTTTACAGTTTTAAAGCAAAAAGGAATAAATCCAATGCAAAATGCAGACCCACGTTTAAACGTTTCGCAGCAGCAGCAAACAGCCGCTACCGTCGCTCAGCCACTGAATAACGTCAATCTTGCACCTGGCCTAAATACTCAGAACAATGGATTAAACCCAGTAGTGGGAATTGGACCAGTGGGAAATCAAGGTGGTCCCGTTATACCTGGAGTACCTGGACAAATTGGAGCGCCAGGAAATGCAGGACTACCAGTTGGACCAGTTCCTGGTGCTATGGGAGGTGTGAATCCACCTATTGCTGGAGTTACGCAACCAGTTAACATTGGGGGCCCACCTGGATGGCTTCAAAATGAGCTAGCAAATCTTCAATCGCAGCAGACCACGCTACAGGATCAAATCAGACAATCGGAGCAAAATCTGGCTGCACAACATGCTGCACTGATGGCACAACAACAAGGAAGGGTTGAGGATGCTGTTAGACAAGCTCAAGAAACAACATTGCAAAACAATGCGCAAAATACAAACACAGATCTTGCTGCATTCGATACAGTGTTACAACCTATTATAGATAGCTGCACTAAAGACAGCATAAGCGCAGGAAAAGCCTGGATACTTCAAAACTCAATTACTCCACAAAGTAATCAAGTTGTAGCAGATCATTTGTTGAAAAAGTACGTCTTTCTTTAAATTTTAATTGCACGATTCTAGAAGTATACAATATAGAAATTCATTTTTTAATATGCATTTTAGAGTAATTCAGGCAACAAATTTTGGTCATAAACTTCATATTATCTATTTGGTCAATGATGTCTTGCATCATTGGTAAGTATACGATGATAACTATTCAGAAATCGTTCGTGGATTACATATTTTGCAGCGTTCACTAAATTTCAAATTAAATATTTTGTACTTCTACACATGTTTTACATTGAAATGTAGAACTTGATATTTCGATTTCTGTGCAATAATATTGTAGTCATAAAGTTCGATAACTTCTATATATAGTATTTGTGCACGATATTTAATCTTGAACTTCTTTAGTGCAAGAAAAAAATCTATGGATCTTCGCAAGGCAATGGAAAGTGTTGTTGTTCCCATGTTCTGTAACACTTCACTAGCTGCATCAGACGAACAACTTAATAAATTAAATAAGCTATTAAGTTTGTGGGAGTCAAAAAATAATTACTTTGATGAAGGAATTATAGATAAATTGAAACAACCAAGTTCATCTTGGTCTGAATATCAGGCTAATCTGGTTGCGCAACATGCCAGTGCAATTACACCAATTACAACATCGACGAAACAAACCTTCGATAACTATCAAGCACAACATCAAGCGTTCGTTACTCATGCTTTACGACAAATTCAGAATATCGAGCAACAGAAAATAGCAATTGACCAACAATTGAAAGCCCCACCTCCACCACCACCACAATTGGTATGTTAATCATTTCTATGCGCAGTAAATCCTCAATTTAACGGACGGTATTCAACTTATTAGTCTGTTAAATTGTAGTTTTACTATTATTTCTTTTTATATTCCCCGCACATACTAATCAAAAAATACTACTCTACAGAACCAACAGAATATGTCTCTACCACCTAGTCATTCCGGCCCTCCTGCTCCGATCGGCACAGATGTAAATTTCAGTCAGCCACCGCCTGGATGGGGTGTACCTCCAGGAAGTGAACCTCCGCCATTCACGAATGTTCCGTTACCAGATTTTTCAAAACCTCCACCTGGATTTGGTCCACCGCCAGTTATACACGAACCTTCCGTTGAAGACTTAATGCCTAGTATGCCTTACTATGAACTTCCTGCTGGTTTGATGGTACCCTTAATAAAGTTAGAAGACGCCGAATATAAACCCTTGGATCCAGATGCTATTAGGCTCCCACCACCTGCCCCGCCAAGTGATCGGCTAGTTGCAGCTGTAGAAGCATTCTATGCACCGCCAAATCACGACTCACCTCGCGACAGGTACAATTATTATATAAATTATGCGTATAGATCAAGTTCTCGAGTGATGTGGATTCATGGATACATGATTATGATCTTATTAAATGTAATATGTCTATATTATAGCGATGGATGGGAGAAATTAGGTTTATACGAGTATTACAAAGCAAAGAATGCTGCACGTAAACGTAAGGAAGAGGATATAATAGCTGGTATAAGGCAAAAGTCGAGATCACCGTCGCCAATTTTGAGGCCAAGGTCCAAAAGTCCTAGTCCACCAAAGAAACGATATCGAAGTAAATCGCGAAGTAGATCACGATCGAGATCGAGGGGTAGGAGCAGATCCAGGTCTCCCACAACTAACCACAGACGGAACAGCCGTAATAGCAATCACAATAACAGAAGCAGAAGGAGGAGGAACAGCAACAAGGATCGAAGTCCTGACAGGCGGATGGACAGGCAGGATCGAAGTCCAACTCCGCCCAGCTTCCTGTAAGTATCGTTTCAACGATCTTATAAGTCAGTGCTCGGAATTACTTGCTCATTTCGGGCTGATTCCTGAGGCACCGCCTGCTGTAACCCCACTACCGATCTAGGTTCGACGGCTAAGCCGCCGATGGCGCGCGTGACGCTGTGTCCCAGGGCCGTCCAACAATAGATATGTCTGAATCCATTCACGCGATTAAAAATTTCCTTGCGCTGTCAGTATTTTTTATTGTCACAGACAATTAAAGTTATTAATATTATGTTTATATCTATAAACATCTTTTATATATACGTATAACAATAATATATGATATAATAATTGCAATTTTGTCAATAGCTTTCCATATCACCCAAGAGGTATTATTGTTGATGCTTTTTTTTTATGATTTACCCTATAGGCCTATTCCACAAAACATTAATAAGACCGATAATAAAATATGTGACTTGGCAAAAAATTGAAATCAAAATTATAAACGTATTAATTTTCATTTGATCTTTAGGGTCGTTTGCATGATTCTACAATGGATGATATATCCACAGATAATTTAGAAGAATTAATTTGTATCAACGAGGATAATAATGCATCGCTTAAAGATGAACGTTTTTCTGTTTTTATATTTTTCATTTTAGAATATAAGCATTCTGATAAATATGTAGATCCAAACAAAGAAAATTCTAAGACCAAATTTTCGGAGAAGTGGATAACACGATGCATCTAAAATTTTGAACAGCTCAACTTCCTTTTCTAACCGTGCTTTTAAATAAAGATCATGTTGGGTGAATAGTTGAATACCTCTTGGGTGATGTGGAAAGCTATTGACAAAATTGCAATTATTATATCATATATTATTGTTATACATATATATAAAAGATGTTTATAGATATAAACGTAATATTAATAACTTTAATTATCTGTGAAAATAAAAAATACTGACAGCGCAAGGAAATTTTTAATCACGCGCATGGATCCAGACACATCTATCGTTGGACGCCCTTGAGACACAGCGTCACGCACGCGATCGACATTGCCGGCATAAACCGGTAGTGGGCCCGAAATGTGCAAGTAATTCTGAGCACTGTTATAAGTAGCATTGCAACTTAACCCTTTGCACTCTCATATATATATATTTTTTACGAGCGGCAAATAATTTTAATTTTTAATAAGCGACTGAAAATTAAAATTTATTTCCCCTCTAAAGAATTCAGTTTGTTACTCTAAATGAAACTTAAATTATAGTGCACACAGCATATGTTGCAGTAATGACGCCGGTGGAGTGCAAAGGAGTTCATATAAAACTTGGTTCAAACAGATTGTTTACTTCCAGTGGTTCAACGTACAGCAAAGCTCCTCAAGAAATTAGTCTTGACGAAAGTAACAAAGGTCATCAGTTACTCAAGAAAATGGGTTGGAGTGGTGCGGGACTTGGTGCCAATGAACAGGGTATCGAAGCTCCCATTTCGGGAGGTGAAATTAGAGATAAAAACGATCAATATAAAGGCGTTGGTATAAATTTAAACGACCCGTATGAGAACTTTAGAAAGAGCAAAGGTCAGGCATTTATTACTAGAATGAAAGCGAGAGCGGAAGAACGTGCTGAAGAAAGAGGCGAACGGGACTGAATATAATCGAGTAAGATAACTGAATTGTCTGTAATCCTTTCGGCGACAGGTATAATTATCGCGTACAGTGTGAATTTTGCTCGCGTTGGTCCCATAGTCGACACAATGTGGACAGTTCGCGAGATTGATTTTGGGGATCCATAGTGTTTTTTGATTACTGGTAAACGGATAAATTTTCCACCCGTTTCTCATTTAACTGTACTACAATTACATAATAGTTGTTTATCATTGAAATTGCCAAATTACACAAATGTATGTTATCAAATTGTATATTCTCGTTAGGAATAACAATCGATTATTTTATATTTTAATACTTTAAACAATCAGGAATGAATCTTCTCGATACTGTGTCGATCATCTGTAAGGACAAAAATCTTTTATCTGTATATTTCCGTGTGAGGAAAATACAACGAGTGAATGGTGAGAAAGAGGACAATTGTTTATAATAATGATTCTTCGTCAGTTTATGAAAAAGAGATGAGAATCACAGGAAGTTTACGATATCGCGTGCACCACAAGCTGCTGTTAGTTACTAAATTGAATTTTCGTGGTGTGTAATATGAAAAGAACAGTTTTATACATTCATTGTACATTATGTACAAAACTCTTCGATCTTTGGTAAAGTTACCGTTAATAATAATAATAATATTAATAATAGATAAATTGTCTATTAATAACAATGTGAACAACTTGATGAAAAATGTAACTTTAGACGTACCAATACGACAGTTTAATCATATTAAAAAAAAAGTCGTTTTCTACGGAATCAAAGTCGACCAATTGCGCAAGTTATCGTCCATCATGAACTTAAGATACGCTTACGTTTTAATTGTATCCCACATGACACCATACTGGAGTTCGTACTCCTCCCATGTGAAATTATAAACTAATTCACCGAACGTTAAATAAACGATTGTATCTTGTCCGTCTACGGGAATAAGAGAACACAATTGTGCGCAGAGATATCATACGCGCGCAATAGAAATACGGAACTAAACAAAGTACTTGTATTTAGGAAATTAATAAATGATTATATTGGATACATAAGGATAATTCGACAAACGGTGTACAGTTTAATGTGAGAAAGGAAAAGTAATAATCAAAAGATCTAATTAGAATTACCACGACTTCGATGCATGATTGACGTACACTCAAACTCCACAGAACTGTTGAAGAAAAAATCTCCGAGAAAATTTAATTAATTGGTAATAGAGATATCCCAGAATAACAGCTTTCCTCCGATTATTTTTAAGCCTTTGTTTATCATCGTGTCGATTGATGAAAAAGGCAAACCGAAAAATCTTTGTAACTAGCTAAGAACGTCATTGTTAATCGTGAGTTGCCTTCTTGAACTCCCCCAGCGACAGTCGATATCGAAACCGAATAAATCCAACAGTGAACCGGTTTCGCTACGATAACAGTCCCGAGTACTCGCTTGATGGCGTAAACAAAGCTGGTCTGGTGTGTGCGTTCTTAACAGCCATCGTACAAGGTCGTCAAAGCGTTGAGATATTCTTTTTGTGTCACGTGATATTTTTCATTCGGTCGTTCCGCGTGAAACCTATACAAAAGAAATATAACGATACCTTCACGTATTTTTAAGTACGAGGAGATTGTTAATATTTATTCGATAATAGGCAGATTTTGTGATCCTCCAAATCTCAACTCTGATTCATCGTTTGTTCCCTTTGGCCATAAATATTCTGATTCGCGACAGACGTGTAATATCGACTGATAATAATTCTCGCGTGTTCAGACGATAATTTTGCGGTATCATCAAGGGGCAGAGGTAGGCACAATTTTAGAACCTAGGGTATATTGTTTGCACAGTGTTTATTCGAGCAAACAGACAAGAGACAAATTTCTGTGTCCCAGATTTATAGAAAAACAATTTTTGTTATATTTATTTCATTTAGTTCCAAAGTAGGTTTTATTGTACAAATGTAAAGTTATTATTTAAAAAAAAATTTTTTGTATTCAGTTTTAATATTAATTGAGTGATTAAAATTTGTATTCATTGAGTATAGAAAAATTATTCAGTCACGATTTGTAATAAGAAAAGAAAGTCTTTAAAAAAATGATACTACATCATACATAAATAGAATTATCAGTTTTTACACTGAAAGTAGCTGTTACGCCTTCTAGCAAGTGGTGCCCTCTTTTTTGAGAAACGTTAACAAGAGAAAACATTGAGATTTCTCTCAAAATTTTATATAGCGAATACGCGAAACTGAAGAGTACTAACACTGGAGTTGGAGTCTTAGTTAAAAAATATTTCTATGTGTAAAATTTAACGTAATTCTGAGAGGTGCAAGTTTCAATGTTCTTTTAAAAGGTACAAGATTACTTTTTAACATTGATTCCACAACTCGAATTCTAGTTCAGTGTGCTATGTTTGAATTTAAATCAAAATGTATGGTCTCCTAAGATTAACATTTTCGGTTACATGAATCTTCAGAATAAGAACGAAATATTTTTCTTAATCTATAAATGGAAGAAACAATGTGTAAGACGAAACAAAGAAACATAATTCGTAATAAGTTAGATAATCTAAAGAACTTATTAATACCAATACGGTTAATGAGTAAATTTACATACTGCTAATTACGTTAATTGAACATTATAAACAAAAATTTGTGTCTAATAATATGGAAAATATAAATTTTCGTGTCCTCAAAAGATGTGTACCTAGTAATTAGAAATGCTCATGATATTGTTTTACCATTGAGGTTTAAAAATGTTTTAATCAATCATATTGGGTTACGTTATAGAAACAATGTAAATTTTAAGTAAACTAAAAAGAAAGCGAAAATAATTAACGATAAAATTCTTTTAGCACCGAAGTTTAAAAATGTTTGAATCAATCGTATTAGGTCGTTTCATAGCAACAATGTAAATTTGTTTCTTCTTTCGATTATTTAATTCACTTGCAAATTACATTGCTCAATTTCATATTGCACATTACTTTTCTCATTTAAAAATTGTACCTATATTTTCGTCTGCATCCTGAAAATGGATTTTAACATACAATTGTCGAGAGCTTCGTAAACTACATATTCAAATTTTTATTTTTATCTAACGAACATCTCATAAAAAGTTTTATCTTGATACAAATTTCGCCTATCTCTGCCAAGGGGGCAGTGTGACTATTGCGACGATAAAAAAGCAGAGGTCAAATGGTAAAATTCAATTTAATAGATATTCCCTTCCATATCATGCAAATTCCCACAAAAAACTTCAAAAAAGTAAAAAAAATGACGTCAAGTACATGAAAAAGTTTAGGATGAAAAGGGGTATAACCAAATAAATCAGAAAAAGATAGAAGATCCCCATAAAAAACTACAAGAAAGTACAAAAAATGTGAAATTGAAATGAGCTCCAAGTACATAAAGGTGCTTTCCAACTATGAACAGTTAAAATGATGTGTTCAACAGTGCTGACATTCAGACCCTAATGATAACTCAAGTAAAGTGACTGCACCGCACTTTGGTGATGAAATGAAGAAGCTAACAGCATATCAGCTACAAGCTGAGACTGTTTAGACATTTGCCTAGATGTCCACAGTCTGTTAGTCAAATACTTGGTGTGGCCAGGCAAGGTCAAGGTGTCGATGAATACAAATTATTTTAAAATGCAAAATAATGAAAGTAGACTCATATTGTCGAAGTTTTAAACTAACAAATTATCTGAGAGCCTGCATGAGAGAAAGTATGAGCATTAATGATCTGAGAATGCCATATTGAACATCGTAATGTAACAACAACCACAACTAACACCTTTCACAGAAAAATATGTATGCATTTTTAGCTTTTCGTGGCCGTTTATTTTTCTATTCGTAAATCATCAATGGCTATCCATGTTGTGCCCTTATCCTTTACCATACTCATGTAATGACCATTCGCTGTCATGAAAATCGCTGTCTTAAATTTAATATTACCAGACAAAGACTTTTTCATGTACTTGGCGTGATTTTTTTACTTTTGTGAAGTTTTTTATGGGGATCTCACTTCTTTTTATTGTACATAACTGCAACAACTTCTCTGAGCAGACTATTTAACTGCACATACATCTGTATATACGTGTAATCTGTACACGATTCATTAGTTTGCCTACAGGCGCGCACCCTGGTCCTTTACCGTGGCTGTGGACAATGAGAATATAAATATAAAAAAATGAATGTTACTTTTGTGATTTATACACAGACTATTTATTTTTTTAATTGAATAGAGGAAAGAAAGGAAGAGGGGGTCACAAAAGGGAATATATATATTTCATATGATATTAATTTATTAATTATAAACATTTATTCATTCAATTTATGAATTAATATAAATACCAGCAAAGTTATGTGTACATAGTTTAACATAGATCACACCGCATAACTTTATGCTTCAATTATTTGTAAATAATACATACAAACCATATTTTAGTTGCAAATTAACATAGAGCTTAAAATCAGAATAGATTAGTCATTTATTATAGCAAGCATAGAGTTTACAATATATAATATATCCGAAACCAGATATAGGGAAGAGACCAGTTTCAGTCCTTTAAGTTTTCAAAAGTAGGTAGAACACATGGCAGAAAGTCTTGTTGCAAGAAATTCAAATGTTAATGATAAAGTGAGAAAATGAACGAAGAGATCCACTATTTCTAACGCACAATTCATTGTGTTAGAATCAAATTAATTTAAGATGTTTATCTGCAAATTGAAATACTATTAATGAGAAACTAATAAGATTAATAATAAGCATAGAAATTGTTGTTGGTCTTTTTTAGACAAATATTCACAAAAGATTGGAAAGTGTCAAAGGAGATATGTTGTCAGCATACTTCACTAATTTGATGAGCTCTACATTGCAAGCAGTCAGCCATAATTTTCTTAATGCTATGTCTTTTGAAATATTGATCGACACTTTACACTTTATGGGTACAATATATTTGGCACATGCATTATACAAGTTTTCAGAAACTTGTGCAAAAGGAAGTGCTTCTTCATTTCTAACTTTCTTTGGACAACCTCCAAGCCTATGAGTCCCCTTCCTTTCTATAAGCTCTACATAAAAAGTCTAAATTAAAAACAGTTTGTTGGTGTGGATAAATTAAAATCTAAATTAAAAACAGTTTTCTGGTATGGAGAAAGATATCTAGCAATTCAGATTTAGGCAACTTATCTTGTGATTAAAATTAATCATCAACACTTTACGACTCTGGCTGCAATTTGTTACTAAATTAAAAACATTTTGCTGGTATAAAAAAATTAAAAAAGTGCACATTTTAATTACAAATCGAGAATAATTCAATAATGTAAAAACTTTTGACACTTGACAGGTTATAAATGAGCGGCCGCCACGAACCCTGCTGAATGATTTTGAAAGTCGACGAACGGACTTAGTTTCTATTGATTGAATGTTGACGAAACTTTTCTTGAAGAAGAATCAGAGTCAGAACAAAAATCTACCGTTTCAGAATGATTCATAACATGATATTACGATATCTCTGTTCTACGTGGGCCGATTTGATTGAATTTGGTTTTATTCGAAAGTTTATATGCGGTTTACATAAAAAAAAATACCTAATGAAAGAATTTACTTAATGAAAGAAATTTCTGGTTAGGTTGGAATAGCCGGTTTACGAGTAAAAGATACGCGGTAGCGCCAGCGCCAGGTATACGCGGCAGCGTATAATTTTTCATGTAGTTGACGTCGAGACGCTACCGCGTCTCTAAACATTAACACGTCGACGTTTTATTTCTAGTGACGTATTCATGTCAATGCACTCTGCGAAGTATGATTAATTGCCATTACTCGATAACCAGTTTTATTTACTTTGCCATTTTGTCAGAACAAGACAAGCTAAGAGTTGGATTACCCCTTTCTGGTTTAGCACGCAATGGTCCAATCACATGATAATTCACCCCAGCTAGATGAGGATCTTGGTATTCTTCAGTTTTAACCCATTTTGCACCCGTTCTATAAATGTCTTTGATCATCTGTTCCTTTTTATCATTATATGATTCCATGATTACTTCTCCTGCATCATCATGTTTTCGTATTTTCATTGGTGGTGTATCATTTTCACAGAACTCATTTTTTGGAAATATAGAACAATCTCCACACAATGTTTGGCTTGTGAAAAAATGGAATGATATTCCGTTGTTCAGTTTAAGTTTTTTCTTATTGTCCATTGTAAAAACATCGCTTTTAGTACCATCAAGCAATAAATTAATCTGTTCATATAAATATCTTAAAAAGGCACATCTGGCTAAAACTTCTGCATGAGAATCATTTAATCTACAACCATCCTTATATAATTCTGTATTTATTAAATCTATTTCTCCTAAACACTTTGTTCCAGTCGCAAGAGCTACTAAAGATAATAAACCATCACCTTTCCTTAATACTATACCCGACAATACAGTCCATTCTGTCTCTGTTGGTTTACCAGATTTACCAAGTTTTATATACATATTTATCTATACAAAGCTTTGCAATCTCATCTGCAAAATCTTCCATGCTATTATAATTGATATGAAATTGTTATCTTTAAGGTAATTATATACATTTATTTGAACATTTATTTTAAAAATTGTTTAATATACATTTGATGGATCCCAACAATATTTATGTTGAGGTAAAGAAGATAGAACTTTCATGTCTTCTTTATCAATAGTAAAATTCAATTGTATATTATCTCCTATATGTTCTCTTTTTACTGCTTTGGGAATAATACCAATGTTTTGTTGCAAAGCCCACTTCAAAAGTAATCTAGCTGGTGATACATTAAGTCGAGAAGCTATTAGTGTTACAGTTGGGTCTTTTAAAAGTTTAGTGTTGCTACTAGTTCCCAAAGAAGAATATGCTTGTACATGTATCCCTTTTTCATTACAATACTTAATTAATTCTTCTTGTCTGTAATGTGGATGACATTCAACCTGTAATATAAAAGTATACTTTATCCTTATAATCAATACAAATTAAAATAAATATAAAACACAAATACAGTTACTATACTTGATTGACAGCTGGTGGTACATCTTTACAATATTGCATTAAGTCTTCTAGATGATTTATGGTATAGTTGGAGACACCTATAGACTTTAACAATCCTTGTTTCTTTAACTCCACCAATTTATCCCAAGTTTTTGTTCTTAAGATTTGATTATTTGTAGAATTCTCTGGAAGTCGAGTTGCACCAGGCCAATGAATTAAATAGAGATCTATGTATGTAATATTAAGTGCTTTAAGAGATCTTTGTACAGATTCTTCTATACGTATTAGATTTCCATTATAACTTGGTGCTGTCGTAAAGATAAAATATTAATATTATTTATATTAATATCATCTAGGTTTCATTCTTCAGTGATCCATACCAAGTTTAGTTGTAATAAAAATATCCTCTCTTTGAAGATTATATTTAGGTAATAAACTGTTTAAAGCATAACCTATGTCTTCTTCATTTTGATAGACTTCAGCTGTATCTATATATAGTAACAATATGTTGAAACCTTTTCAAATGCACTTATAATTCGATTAAGAATTAAAGTTTTGAGTTTTTTTAATGTTTACAAACATACCAACAGAACGAAAACCTACATTTAGGCTTTCGTCGATAACTTGATATACTGTATCCCTTCCTCGGATTTTATATGTGCCAACTAAATATAAAGTGATTTCAGATTTAATAATTTACAATAAATAAGAGTCTGTTATAAGTTATATAAAAGTTGTTTGTAATTATAATCTTACATCCAACTAAAGGCATACTGTAACCAGTTGAAAGTTTTTGAAGGTCTAACATTTTGCACCACTGTAAAATATAAATAAATATTATAAAAAATTATTATTATTATTTATTACTTATATTACTATATTATATAAATATTTTTCATATATCTATTTTGCACCACTCATAATATAGGTGTGTCCACCAGGGGGGCCAAGTTACCGTACGATGGGCAAAACCCTAGCCTTCGAATAAATCTGAAGTTTGCCGATATGTTTGTCTCTTTTCCTTCTTTGGAAAATGTTCTAAGGAGGAAAGGAGATAGACATATCGGCAAACTTCAGATTTATTCGAAGGCTAGGGTTTTGGGAGTGGTCTCCGTCGCCGAAAAGATCGACGTGACATAAAAACCGAGCGGCCACTAGAAGAAGTAAATTAAGTAAAACATTTAGCCAGTAGGGGAGCTGAATGCAATTTCTGGTGTTCAAAATATGATACTGGTAAAGTAAGGTAGGCTTTATAAGCAAGCGAGACGTCCGAATGTGACAACGACAATGTAGTATCGTTGGTGCGAGCAGCCGTGCCGAGACACAATCATACATGCAACGCTCGGAGGCATGTCCGTGTACCTACGAGACTGCAAGGTTTGGTTCTGTCCTATTTATGTCTCGACAATGCAGATTCGAGACCTCTCAATAGTCGTTTCCACTAGATAAATGTTCAAACTTGTGCGCAAGCTCCTATAGGTGCTCTACTTTTGCTTTTTTCTGTCATAATTAACAATATTCAGCAGCGTGTGTTAGCTCAGACAACGTGGCAGCACTGTCGCACCATCATATTGCTTCTTTTGATCGCGAAGTACTGCTGAATATTATTAATTATGACATAAAAAAGCAACAGTAGACTACCTATAGGAGCTTGCGCTCTAGTTTGAACCTTTATCTAGCGGAAACGACTATTGAGAGGTCTCAAATTTGCATTGTCGAGACAAAAGTAGAACAATACGGAACCCTTGCAGTTCCGTGTACGTATACAGTGGAGCTGTGTGAGTGCGTACGAGCCCATACAAGGCACGGGAGTCCACTCCCTTAAATGCGATTTAAAGGAGACCCTAAGGAGACACGTCATGTTATGTTACTTTATTTGAGTGTTTCATTGATAACTCTGTGTCACTAATCTTGTTCTACATACAGTATTTTACAGGTTATGAATGTAGACACGTCTGAGACGTTTAACGTCATTATTAGTAAGTAAACACACCAACAGTCGGTGTGCCTCTCAGAAAGCTCGTGTCACCACATTGCAAAACCCGTGGCAAACGTGACGAGACAAGGCGTATCGAAAAGTCGCGTTTTTTGTGGCCCGATACTCTTACCACGTATCGCAAGACGGTCATATTAAGTGTAGAAATTAATTATTTGTTTTCATATTCAATCTTTTGTAAGTCTAGTTTAAATAGAAATATTTACTCGTTATTTTGCTACGTTAAAATACCAATCTTGCAAGTCTTCAACTGAATTTACAGGGTGTCCCAGAAATGTTGGAGGTCCTTGAAAGGGGTGATTCGGGGGTTAATTTAAAACAACTTTTTTCTTAGTAAAAATGTTGTCCGGAGATATTAATAGACCTGTTGCGTCCTTCGATGCACGTCAAGTTCATGTCAGTCATATCTACTGTTCGAATTGAACGTGTAAAAAACGTAAATACACAAGATGGAATTTTTATTCGTGAATTGTAATTGAGAAATGTATTGAATTTGCATTGGAGCGGACAGAAAGTGAGAACTGTCGAAGGACATTTTGAATCGAAAGGAATTGGAATCGTCGAAAGGAGGAGTTAAAGCTTGAACGACTAAGATCCTGGCTTCTAATCAGTTGTCATCTTAAGTGTTTTTTCCCCGATTGGATGGATAACCCCATGGGATTTGTAAATACAGAGTGTCCCAAAAATGTTGTAACACCCCGTAGTTTCATTCTTGGCCGAAACCGATACAACTTTCTGCCTGCGCGCTCAGTGTATATCTCCGCCACTTCCAACATCGGATTTGTTTTGACAAATCGAAAGCGATAAAGGATACGATGAGGGCCAAACACGGTGACCTCACTCTCTCCTTCGTGAACTTATGCACTAGCGCTCTCGGCGAAAAAAAGTATTGGGAGCCTGCCTGAAAAATTTCCTCAAAAGAAAGGAACCGTATCCCTTGTCGACCGCCCGCGACAACGATGATGGTGCTTGATCTTTTTGGGATTTCGTGCTCGTTTGGTAATTAAGTGGCTCGCGGTGCCAATTAGAGATAGCGTGAACTGTTACTTTTGAATCACTCGTGATTCAATCACGTTCATTCTCAATCACGATGATTTTTCACAGTGATTCGTGATTCTTCGTCATCGCTTCTGATTGGTAGAGAACATTCTTTTCACTTTTCACGAATTATATTGTTCTTAGATTATATATGTACTATAATATGGTCTAAAAGCAATGTTAATATAATTTTAATACAATTTAAAATTGACTCATTTTTCTCGAATTTCCGCTAAGGGGAGACAGCGAGACCGCTTCTGAAACGCCATCTTCCGGATCACGATCGTGATCGAAGTTTAATCACGACTGCGATCGTAATTGTGTGAAAAAACTTCAAAAAAGTAAAAAAATTACACCAAGTACATGAAAAAGTGGAGGACTCAAGGAGTTATCATTGAAAAATAGAAGATCCACATAAAAAACTACAAGAAAGTAGAAAAAGATGTGAAATCGAAATGAGCTGCCAGATTATTTGCCTAGATTTCCGCGGCCTAGAAGTCAAATGCTTGTCGTGGCCAGGCAAGGCATTCTTATATCATCTGTTGGAGCGTTTTATTACGATTTATTTGTAGAACAGACTCTACGTAGTTCGTCGGCACGTTCGGCTCGAAGAAACCGATAAAGTTTCAATGTTTATAATACGGATATACGTCGCCCGGGCCCCAATTAGGGAGTCGGCTTCGAACCACGGTCGTGACCGGTCGAGGAAATATATCGCGTATTAAAAGACAGTAATTTTTGTCTCGACTACGGGACTTTGTAATTCGGCAATAGTCAAACAATCAGACGTTTCGGACGACGCCAGGATATCTTCTTGTGCGGGAGTTTCCATCGGAACTCAGTTTTCGCAATACAGTGATTCCTGGTAATCTGGATATCTTCCCGCACAGGAGACGGAACACTATTCCGTATCGTCGTGATCGATTCACAATCTGGGAATTATTTCCTAAAAAATCCGGTGTCACGCGATTAATCGCTGACGGGCGCCCGACCTTCGTGTACACGAAAAAATCATCAAAGTCACACGCGACGCACTCACACTAACAATTCAAATATTGTAAATTCAATAATTTAAATCAAGGGTTTTTTATGCCTTCGGGCTGTTTCCCTTGCATCAACGCTAAAATAAACTATTACTTTTCATTCACCATAGCCACGATTCATTATTTATAACACCTTTATCTTGCCTAAACATCCTATCCTTCCTCGAACCGTCTTTCTCTCCTGCGTGTGTTTAGATTATTCTAGATCTGAAACCAAAGGGGGAACGAATTCGAGAGGACAGTTCATTCTTGTCCGAAACTTCGACGAGGTAAGACCGAGTCTACACTAATGCGCAAAACTTAACGGACAAATTTTTAAACGGTTCAAAAACATGGAAGTTTTCAACCGATTGGAATTAAACTCCGAGAGTAGTTTTGTAGTGTTCTCTGGGCGTGTGTAAAGTTACATGAGCGAGGGTTGATGCGAAGGGGGTTAATTCACCCCCCTAAAGGGGAGGGTGTAGAAAACGCCTCTTTGAAACAGGCCAGGGATGGCGGAAGGGGTTGAAAAATTCAAAAAAACCTTTGGGGCGACTCTCTTTGATGTCCTCTACAAAATACACCCCTTGAAATCGCTCTCGGACAAACCCACCCCTACAACCTCCTACCCCCTCTAAAATCCACAATTTTTGAACGACGGTCTCGATTTTGGATTCGATGCATTCTCTGGACTCCCCTGATCCAGAAAATGCCATCACCCATACCGTGCTCCCCATAGGCGCCCTTGGGGGGGGGGGGGAACAGCTTGCAAATTTTCAACACCCTTCGTAAAGAAACACTTCCACGCATCGGAGGGCGATGAAATTGACTATGTTTGCTCTCGATACGTTAAGGATGAATGCCAAAAAGGTCCCGTTTCGAAAAGTGCTCCCAGAGCTAAAGGGAGGGGGGGCAGAGGTAGGGGTGGTCCGCCCCCAAGTGTAAGGGTTGGAACGTTGTTTCGTTGCATGGATCACATGTCCAACAGTCCAGGGCATCGGGCTGACACTGTTTTGATGTCTTTTTCCAGCGTGAATAGCAAATAAAATACGATGTTACGAGCCAGGACGATAGCGACGCGCGTGTGAGCCCTGTGAATGGGTTGAATTCAGGAATCGAAGAAGATACGATTAGTCCTGTTTATTTCAATGGATCCAAAGATTGAGGATGTAATAGAAATCGCAGACGACTCTGACGCGAAACCAGATAGCTGCTGGGAATTGATATCTCCCAAATAAGGGTAACCGTAGGATCGGTATCTCCCAGTAAAGGGTAACCGTTGGGAAGGTTAGGTGAAGAATAAGAAAGGACAGATGGGTATCTCCCAATTAAGGGTAACCGTAGGATCGGTATCTCCCGGTAAAGGGTAACCGTTGGGAAGGTTAGGTAAAGATTGGATCGTATCGTTGGAATATAATACGCGTCGTGGATAAAGCCTCGCAACTATTAATTCTAAACAAATAATAACTCGAGCGGTAAAGTTAATATGTTGTGGGGTCGTTACACTGGTTAGGATTGCTTATTCCAATGGTAAAGGTTTAATAATGATTTAACAGACCTTTTAAGGTTAACAAATGATTATATATTCAAAAGTGAATAATTCTAATAATACAATTGTACAGTGTCGTGTTGTCGCGGTTAGTGTATGAATTTAGTTACCTAATTGTTGCACGGTGTTAACGCACTGGCGATGCGGGGGTCGAGAATGCTTCTATGCCGTAATAGATTTTGTACCGTCCTCGCGGATCTATATGATTAATGTTGATCGAAAGAGATCTGAAGCCCGATCTCACTGAAGCGCAACTCTGAAGACGATCGACGTGACTTTACCAAGTAACTCTTTCGTGCTAATCCCGCGAGTAACGAAAATCATGGGTTTATATACCCCTAGATATTGGTGGGGATACGTCAGTGATTTCCATATATGGAAATTTGGCGGTTAAGATTTTCGTTACTCAGAGGTGAACATCTGTGGGGCTTTAGGGAAAGTTTAGATAAAGGGTTACCCACGCAACGCGAGTTAAAAGATGATTCTGAGAAAAGTATGGTACAGCTGCAGGGTGCACTTCGGTAAGACCAGACTCCACATCCTAAGGGGTAGATAAAATAAATGAACGCGAGCTTCGAAAAGAACGGGTGTGCATACGTAACAACGAAAATGTCGATTTTTTTTTAAAAACTTGCTTCTAACTTCAGGCCCATCTGCAGGGTGAACGAGTAACCCCACGTCAACGCCGTTCATGGATTCGGACGCGCGAATGCTTTATTAACAGATCTCCAAGAAATCAGATTTTTTGAATTACGCTTTCGTTGAAAATTTGCAAGCTGTTCACACCCCCCCCCCCCCCCCCCCCCCCCCCCCCGCCCCGAAGGGCACCTATGGGGAGCACGGTATGGGTGATGGCATTTTCTGGATCACGGGTGTCCAGAGAATGCATCGAGTCCAAAATCGGGACTGTCGTCCAAAAATTGTGGATTGTAGGGGGGCAGGGGTGGGTTTGTCCGAGAGCGATTTCAAGGGATGCATTTTGTAGGGGGCATCAAACAGAGTCGCCTCA